TCCTATAATTTTTGTAATTTTTATAATTCTCTTTATTTTTATAATTCCAGTAATTTTTCGTAATTCCTGCAATTTTCCGTAACTTTTTAAAAATTGCGAAAAATTGAATGTCAAAATTGCTGGAAAGTGACGTTGGAATTACGAAAAATAGAAGTAAAAATTACGGAAAAATGAGGTTGGAAATGTTGGAATTAGGCAATCCAACGACCTGTCCAAATGGCGTCTGGTTGGCAAACAATAAACAAAAGACATATGTTTTTTTTTGGCAGGTACTCATAATTTGCTCTTTTTTGACATTGCATCGACAATTTGACGTTGAAAAAAGAGCGAATTTCGCTTTTATGAGTACCAGGCTTTATCAATACACGGGACGAGTTCTCAAATCTGACACTTTTCTGACATCGTTGACATGTAAAAACCCGTATTCTAACCTCATAAAAATTTCAAAATGCCGGCTGGTTGGCAAAAGTCACGTGGTTTGGATTCCCTAATTGCGAAAAAGTTGAGTAAAAATGGCGGAAAAGCAAGGTTATAATCGAGAAAAAATGAGGTTATAAATACGAAAAACAAAAGTAAAGATTATGGAAAAATTAGGTTGAAATTGCGGCAATGTGAGGCGAAAATCGCGGAAAAGTGAGCTTATACTTATTGAAAAATGAGGAAAGAATAACGGAAAAGTGAGGCAAAATTCGCGGAAAATTTTGTTGAAATTCCGACAAAGTGAGTTTGGACTTTGAAATTGCGGAAAAGTGAAGGTTAAATTGCGAAAAAAAATTGTTGAAAGCCGTTATTTCTCAAATAAATTTCGTTATTTTTATAATTTTTCCTTAGTTTTTGCAATTTTTGCAAAACTCCTAATTTTCGTAATTCCCATAACTTTTTCCTAATTTTCTTAATTTTTCGTAACTTTCCAAAATTCCCGTAATTTTTGAATAATTCCTGTTGTTTCTCAGATTTTCGTAGTTTTTTAATTTCTGTAATTTCTCAAAATATTTAGTTACCTACTTATTTTATAATTCCCCCTAAGTTTTTGTTACTTTCAAAAATTCGTAATTCTCGTAATTTTAAAAAAAAATTTATTGTGAATTTTCATTTTTTCCGTAATTTCTCAGATAATTATTCTCCTCTCCCTATTTCTATAATTCTTCCTTAGTCATTGCAATTCTTGGAAAACTCGTAATTTTCGTAATTCCTGTAACTTTTTCATAAATCCCGTAAGTTTACCAAAAATTATCGTAATTTTTTCGCAATTCTCGTGATTTTTCCTTATCTCTTCCAATCTTTATATTTCCTGTAGTTCCTCAAATTTTCGTAATTTTGTAATTCCCGTAATTTCTCAAAAAAACTGGTAATTCCCGTATTTTTTTTTTCTTGGAATTTTCGAAAATTCTCAAATTCCCGTCATTTTTCAAAAAATTCTCGTTAATTTCATAATTCTCCCTTAGTTTTTGCAATTTTCGGAAAATTCGTGAATCCTGTAACTTTTTGTAATTCTTGTTATTTTCGTAATTTTTTGAAAATTGTCACAATTTTTTTAATTCTCGTGATTTTTTCGTATTTTTCATAATTTTTGAATAATTCCTGTAGTTTTCAGATTTCCGTAATTTTTTAATTTCTGTAATTTCTCAGAAAACTCCGTTATTTTCATAATTTTGAAATTATATCTTCGTAATTTTCGTATTTTATTTTGGGAATTTTCGAAATCTTGTAATTCCTGTCATTTCTCAGATAATTCTCGTTATTTTCCTAATACCACCCTTAGTTTTTACAATTTTCGAAAAACTCGAAATTTTCGTAATTTCCATTACATATTTTCGTAATTTTTTAATTTCCGTAATTTCTCAAAAAAATTTCGTTAGTTTTATAATTTTCTTTAAGTTTTTGAAATTTTCGAAAATTGGTAATTTCCGTATTTTTTTTTGGGGATTTTTGAAATTTTTTAATTCGTGTCATTTCTGAGATAATTCTTGTTATTTTCTAATTCCCCGTTATTTTTTTCAATTTTTGGAAAACTTGGTAATTTTCGTTATTCCCGCAATTTTTCGCGCTTTTTCCAGTAATTATTTATATTTTCAATTTTTTAATTTTCAATTTTCCTAATTTCCAAAAAAATTCGGAATTTTCTAATTCTCCCTAAGTTATTGTAATTTTCGTAATTTCAAAAAATTGTGATTTCCGTTATTTTGGGAATTACCGTAATTCACGTAATTTTGAAATGACTTTGTAATTCTTTTCCGTAATATTTCGTAATACACGTAATTTTTGTAATTTTCGTAGTTTTTTGTATTTTTCTCAATTCTCGTAATTTTCATAATTTCTCATAATTCACGCAAATTTTCGTCATTTCCGTCATTTTATTAGGTTCCGTAAATTTTTAAAATTCCCATTATTTTTCGTAATTCCCGTAATTTGTCTTGTTAGTTTTCGTAACTTTTCAAAAATAAGTAATATTTAAATAATTGACGTAATTTTGGAGTGACTTCGTAATTCTTTTGCGTAATATTTGGCAATTCCCATAATTTTTGTAATTTCCGCAATTTTTTGTTATTCCGTGATTCTCGTAATGTTCCGTAATTCTCGTAAATGTTTGCAACTCTCTCTAATTTTTCATATTTTACGTACTTTAGCGTAATTCCCGTAAATTTTCGTAACTTTTCAAAAATTATCGTTATTTTCGTAATTTTGAAATGAGGAAAAATGAGGATAAAATCGTGGAAAGTGATGATAAAATCACAAAAAAAAGAGTCAAAAATCGCAAGAAAAATATGAGTCAAAAATTTCAAAAAGAGTGAATTTAAACTCGCGGAAAAGTAAGATGAGACTCACCGAAAAATGAGGATAAAGTCACGAAAAGTAAGGATAAAATCGCGGAGAATGAAATATGAATCGCGGAAAAGTGAGGATAACATCGCAAAAAAAAGTGAGACAAGAATCGCGGAAAAATGAGATTATATTTACAGAAAAGTCGATTTACAATCGTGAAAAAGTGGATTTAGAATTGCGGAAAGTGATGGTAAAATTGCAAAAAAATGAGTCAAAAATAAAAAAAAAAATATTTTTCAAAAATCACAAAAAAAATGAGGTCAAATTAGCGGAAAAGTGGAGATAAAATCGCGGAAAGTAGGGGAACAATCGCGGGAAAATGAGGTAAGAATCGCGAAAAAATGAGGATGAAATAGCAGAAAAATAAGTTTGTAATCGCCGAGGAGTGAGAGCCAAAAATCGCAAAAAAGTGAAAACAAAATTGCAAAAAAGTGGGTCAAAAATCACAAAAAAAATGAGTCAAAAATTTCAAAAAAAGTGAGTGTGAATTTGTGAAAAAGTGAGATAAGAATCGCGAAAAAATGAGGTAATATTTGCGGAAAAGTGGGTTTACAATCGCGGAAAAGTGATAGTAAAATCTAAGATTTCTAAATTATGACGTCATCAAATTGGATTTTTCAATGAATAATAAATTGGAAGCATCTTTCCTACATAAAATTAGTGAATTTGACATTTATCAAAAGATCCAAACAACCAGCACCTTGTTTTACAGGTAATGAAATGTCTTGTCAGTTTCTTGAAAGTATGTCGTGGTCAGTAATTATTTTTGCTAGAAATGCAACAAAATACAGAAGAAAGAGAAGATTGCATCGATCCCTTGAAAAATATAAATGAGGCAGTTGTTCCAATTTTACCATTAATATCAATGTAAATAACTAAAAATACAAACATTTTTGACGTTCGCTCTCAAAATTTGATGTTTCATTTTTAACACTAGTGCTATAAAGACTTTATGGCACTAGTGCGATAAAGTAACATTTGTAATGCTACGGGGGGTGTTAAAAATTGCATTTTTGACACGTTTGTAGAAAAAGTTTTTTTTTTTTAAGATAAAAGTCAAAATGACATTAAGTTGGCAATGCAATGTAAAATTGTCAATGCTTTCAAATTTTTTATGTAGAAAAGGCTTGTGTTGCCAACATAGTTATTGAATTTTTGACTTGGGGAATTATCTTTAAAAAAAAACATACTTTAACTTTCCCCAGAAAAGTGTGCAAAATTTGAAAATAGACATGCGAAATTGTGCAAATTTAGGTGAACCAAGTAGCATAGGAATTTTTCAAGTTTTAGACAAACAAGGGGGAACGGTCAAGTTTGCCCCTAGTTTAAAAAAATGCTCTAGTTTTCGTTGTGTTGTGTGCAATATTTTAGTTATAGTGTACAAAATTATTATGGTTTAGGTATTTATTTTTGAAATTTGTTTAATACAGGCGGAAACTTGACCGACCCCAAAATTTACTTGTTGGTAAATAAACCGATCTACTGGAAAATAAATAAATAATTCATAATTCGAAATTAAACATAAATTTCTAAGTGGCAAATTTGCCAAATATACTGAGAAAAAAAACCTAAAGAAAATGATAGAATAGCATCCATCTATGCTATTCGTTGGTAAATTATCAAATATGTTAGAAAATATATGCTTAACTTCCTAATTCCTTTTGGCACGCTCCCTATGCACGCAAAGCAAATATTTCACTTTAATAACTTCATTCAGAGAAGCAGACACGGATGCTGGCTCGCTGGCTGGACGCTGAATCAACAGCACTGACAACTCGGCAACAGTGGGCAATAGACTCGAGCCAGCGTCCACACCGGCAAAAGCCGGCGTCCATCGAGGTATCAAAAATCAGAATACGGACGAGACTTCTAGAGACGTTAGTCTATAATATTCTTTGGTAATATTCCTATTCAAAATAAGCAAAAATATAGCGGCGAGATCTCTATTGACGTAGAAAAGGTTTATTGAGTCACTGTAGGTGTAAGTTGTTGTTTTGATGCCAATAAAAATAACTAAAAAAAAAGTAGGTATAGTTATTTCACTCCTAGAAATAGTACATTTCCCAACTAGTGCGGAAAGTTTTACTTTTCCGCACGCGATTGCAGTGATGAAAAGACTTTCCGGTATTTTACTAATGCACGATCAGTTAATACTAGCAAGAAAACTTTATTTCTAGGTCTAATTCATCATGGTGCGTACCAAGCAAACTGCTCGTAAATCAACGGGAGCAAAAGCTGCCCAAAAACAACCCGCTAAGAAAGCGGATAAAAATGAGAAATTCACCGTAGGAGGCGTGAAAAAATTCCGCACATTCCGTCCCGATGTTGGCGCTCTTAGAGAACTACGGCCCTACCAAAACTCCAGAGAGTTTCTCATCCGTAAGCTGCCTTTTCAACGCTTCGTGCGAGAAGTCGCACAAGATTTGAAGAAAGTTATTTGTTTCCAGGCTGCTGCTATTGGCGCATTGCAGGTTAAATTTTGATCGCTGTGCAATATTTAGTCATAAGATGAATTATATTTTAATTGCAGGAAGCGAGTGAATCCTATTTGGTTGGATTATTCGAGGACGCAAACTTATGCGCCAAGCATGCCAGAAGGATAACAATCAAGCCTAAAGATATAAAGTTGGCCCATCGCATCAGAGGCCAAAGAGAAAGAGATTAATTATTATTGTTCAGTTTTTTTTTTTTGAAATTTTGAGTGTTTATGTAGTTTAAGTTTACATAGTTAATGTTGATATTACGTTTTGTGTTAAAATTTAGTCGTATTGTCGTATCTAATAGTTATTTAAAAAAAAAAAAGATATAGCAAATATCCTCTCAAAGTAGGTAGTTAAAACAGCATTTCTCCAATGGCTCTAGGTACCTATATTCAGTTTAATGATTAGGACTTGAGGTTATGTCCAATTCTGTTAAATAAAGATTTATAACAATTAGAAAGCACCTGAATTCTTCTGCTAAAATTGAGCGACCAGAGCAGAAAATGCACAAATTTCAAATGTCTATAAAACTGATATCATTAAGCCAGCCGAGAGAGTGCACGTATGTAGACAAGGGATCTTTTGAGCTCATAGTCCTCAGGCACTTTCTTACTTATTATATACTAGTTTTCTAGGCGCAACTAAATATTACTTAAAAATTACTATATACTTAGTCAAAGACATAATGCTTCGAGTCAATTCGAAAGATGCACCTTTAATTACAAAACCCCAGAAGGATAATGTTGGTTGTTGACGTAATTGTACAATAATTAGAGGAAATTTCGTACCGGTGTGTGATTCTCCGAGAGCGCGAGTTCCAGGCTTTAGGCTCCGTCATTGTCATTTGTCAAACTCTTATCATGGCAATAAGGAGGAAATCAAAGAGAACGATAATCAAATTCCGGAAGAAATGAAAGAAATTCCCGCACAGGCTATGCCTAATTGATCCAAAAGTGGGCCAGTAGGTACCTACGTTTTGGTATTGGTGTAATTCATTTCTTGAAGCTATTATATAATGGTGCTATTTTTTTTTCTGTGCAGGTTAGTTTGTGTTAGTTTGGATTAGCTCTAATTTCGTTTAAAATATCAACATACAAAGACTAACCCTTATCACGTATTACGGTGAAGCTCCGTCTGTCTGTTCCCCAGACTCTTGTGTTTAAAGATAGCTGTGGAGGGTGGTCAAATTTTCAAGGTTTTTGTTTTTTTTCCATGAGTTTTGCCATAATTCATATCAGTATGCCAAATTTCAGTCTTCTAGCATGTTTGGAAGTACCTTGGAATTTTGATGATCTATACATGAGTGAGTGGTAAAATTGGCGTTTTTTAAAGTCATGTAACTTTTTTGTTGGTTGATGGAAATCGATAAAATTTAATTCCAGTATTAGGTCTACAAAAATCTACGACTGTACAAAATTTCACTTTTCTAGGACACTTCAGAGCTGAGTTACAGGTAGGTCGAAAAATAACCTTAAATGTTTCGAGAAAAGGTATACAGTAGTGCGCGAACTTGGCGGGGGGCACAGATAGATTTTGAAGGTATGCAAAATACTTAGGTTTCGTTTATACAGTGTGTTTCAAAAGTCTGGGAACGGTCAAATATTTCCATAGCGGCTTGGAATAGAATTACGAAATTTTCTGCATATGGGTGATTAATGATACCCGATTCAATGATCATATCGACAATGTTGCCAAATTTACCGGTTTTCAGATAATGTAGGTAACTTCGTTTTTTTAAATAGGAATACCACTTCATTTTCATTGCAATAAATTCGGCGCTCTATTATTATTGAAACCTCTTAATATTATGTCCCAATCTTACACGGTTGCTGAAATATGGCAACATAGACTTTTTATACAAAAGTCTGGGAACGGTCAAATATTTCCAGAGCGGCTTGAAATAGAATTACGAAATTTTCTGCATATGGGTAATTAATGATGCCCGATTCAATGAAGACATCGAAAATGTTGCCAAGTTTACCGGTTTTCAGATAATGTAGGTAACTTCGTTTTTTTAAATAGGAATACCACTTCATTTTCATTGCAATAAATTCGGAGCGCTATTGTTATTAAAACCTCTTGATATCATGTTCCTATTTTACACGGTTTCTGAAATATTGCAACACAGCGTTTTTGTTCAAAAGTCTGGGAACGGTCAAATATTTCCAGAGCGGCTTGAAATAAAATTACGAAATTTTCTGAATATGGGTAATTTATAATGCCCGATTCAATGATGACATCGAAAATGTTGCCAAGTTTACAGGTTTTCAGATAGTGTAGGTAACTTCGTTTTTTTTTTAATAGAAATACCACCTTATGTCCAATGCAATTTTGATACTCTATTGTAAGTAAAACCTCCTGATATCAAATCCCCATTTCAAGTAGTTTTTGAAATGTGGCAACACAGACTTTTTGTTCAAAAATTAGAGAACGGTGGAGTATTTTGACAAAGGCTTAAAATGGGATATTCAAAATTTGATGATGAGACGTTATTGTGATGCTCAATTCAGTGATGGCATCAACAAATATCAAAATTTCAATACGCTGGAATTCACTCAGTTCGAAATTCATTTTGACAAAACTTTGAAGGAACTTGACACATCTGATAATTACCTCTACCACTGGATAATAAACAAATGAATATCTAAATTTTTAGTTATTTAGCGTAAGTGTATTCTTTCATATGTTATTGTGTCGAGAAATTGTCAAACACTTCAGGGAGTATCAGGTAGATCAGGTATAAGTACAAAAATTTTAACATGAGATAATATGGCCTATTTTAAGCTATAATAATCATGAGTCAATTGTTAGTATTTTCGGAATTATCGCAAAATTTTAATTTAAAAAAATGTTAACAACGTGACAAAATTGTAGAGATCATCTCTACCAGGATATTAGGTAAATAAAACTGGTAAATTCTATTTTTTTGCAAGCATTTCATTTATTTCTACGTGTTTACGTTTTGGTTTGTTATTCCCTTTCAAATAATGTAAATAATAATTTGCATTTTTATCACTTTTCTAGTAAAAATAAAAAAATGTGCCGTTTTATTAAGTTGTGAATTGCACTCAATTTTTGCACTAAATATTCAAGAGAAAAAAATGTACACACTTCCACTTCCCATATCACGCAATCTTTGTAAAACTACCTTAACAAGTATCTGCATATTCGACGTTTGTGAAGTGAACATTTTATTTTCTACCACCTATTCTTTTTTGTGCTATGTTGCCAAATGTTTAGATACCGAATTACGAGTGAAAGTGTCATGTTTTTTCAATTTTTTATTGTTGTTGACTAAAAATGCATTATTACCTAATAATTGAATGAGTTAATATTTTGTTTTTTTTAATCTAATAGGTAATGATTAAAATTTTCTTTGTCTCTCAAATATTTGTCAAAAATTGTCATAACTTCAAAGATCTTTTTCTTAAAAATGATTTTGTTTGGTTTGGATGCCATGTCGTAAAAACTTTTTTTCTTCCTGATACACCCTGTATAAAATATCAATTTATACTTGACAACCAGTTTTTTTAGTGATATTTTTGCCGGTATTATTAAGATAGACAAGTAAAATATTTGAGCGTTCTCAGACTTTTGAACAAAAAGGCTGTGTTGCAATATTCCAGAAACCGTGTAAAATAGGGACATGATATCAAGAGGTTTTAATAACCATAGAGCGCTGCATTTACTGCAATGAAAATAAAGTGGTATTCCTATTTAAAATACGAAGTTATCTACATTATATGAAAACCGGTAAACTTGGCAACATTGTCGATGTCATCATTGAATCGGGCATCATTAATTACCCATATGCAGAAAATTTTGTAATTCTATTTCAAGCCGCTCTTTAAATATTTGAGCGTTCCCAGACTTTTGAACAAAAAGGCTGTGTTGCAATATTTCAGAAACCATGTGAGATAGGGACATGATATCAAGAGGTTTCTATTTCAAACCGTGTAAAATAGGAACATGATATCAAGAGGTTTTAGTAACAATAGAGCGCCGAATTTATTGCAATGAAAATAAAGTGGTATTCCTATTTAAAAAAACGAAGTTATCTACATTATCTGAAAATCGGTAAACTTGGCAACATTGTCGATATCATCATTGAATCGGGCATCATGTATAAAATTTCGCAATTCTATTTCAAGCCGCTCTGGAAATATTTGACCGTTCCCAAACTTTTGAAACACACTGTATATTGCACCATTGAAAAATGTGTCAAATTTGATTGGCTAGATAGGCCAGAGAATTTTAATACCCCGACACTTATGCAATTATGTAAAACAAACTTAAAACTGTTTGGAATTTGACACTGTCATTATTATACGAGGGTCAACCTGCCAAATTTCCAAGGATGATGCTACGCCAATAATATCTGATAGGCAAATATAAACTGGCGTTTGATTAATTATTTAATTATTGCACAATTTAATCAGCAATTTAGGTACTGGAAAGGTGAATCGTCCGTGCGGCAGTATCCACACAATACAAGGGCTCCCAACCTTAGACAAGTGATGTAATAAGGTCATTACGTAACGCAGTTAGCTTATTCAAACAAATGCTCATTTATTATAAATATTAAAATTATAACTAATACCTTATGAAAGCTAAAACACCTGGGTTGTGTTTTGAACGTTTTGAATATTAAAAGAAGTCCATGCTTGAAGAAATATTTTCCAAAATTTGTGTTGTGAAAAATGAAAATCATTTTGAATGCATAAAACAATCTGGGTCGTAGATAAAATGTTGCATATCATAGGTACGTACTATAATGCTCATTACAGCACTCGCATTGTTACCCTATTGGCAATACTCCCAACTCGTTACTGTAATTTGTAATGAAACTCATACCGTATCTACCTACTAATAATATAAATAATAACTTAATAACTATTCAAACACTAGTTTCAGAATCGAAAAACAATTCACCTGTAAAGTACTACCAAAGTGCCTGTTTACTGGTGGAAACAATTATCAGTACTGACTTAAAGTTTAACTTTGCCATCTCAGTTCGAAAATTTTACCGGACTGTAAAAGTTCATTTTCCAGACTAAAACGGAGTACATAAAGTTGTGTTTTACGTTACAGTTTGAAATAAAATTATTTCGTATTTTGTCAAATAATAAAAGATAACGTTGCTAAATGAAGAAAGCTTCGGATGACGTTTTTTTTTTTGCATTTTTCTGTTTTTAATATAAATGTGATTATCACGTTTTTATACCGTGTAAAATGTAACTATGTACGCTTAGTTAGTAACTGCGTAATAAAAGCTTGATAAATAAATCAGCGCAATAGAATTAAATTTATCTATCAAGGAGTCACCTGATTTTATTATCTTCATTGTTCATTGTTGAAAGTAAATTATTGTGCAATTAATGTGATTAAAAATTAAAAAATGCAATTAAGGCTTAGTATTGTTTAGAACTAGGAATAATAATAC